ATTAGCCAGGCATGCTCTCCTGAGGTGCTCTCGACCTGAGCTTGTCCAGCGAAGTAGCTTACTTTCTGCTTATCTCTCAAGGCCCCAGACAGAGGTTGGTGTGCTCCCACTCATATGTAGTAGCTGGAGGTCTCACCCACTCCTGTTCTGGGGTGTGTCTCCTCTGTGTCTTTCCATGTCTCCCCTAGCCATGTCTCATTGTTGGCCCTTCTTACCTGCATCGGGCTAGCTACCTGACCAGTAGGTGGGTCTCCTTGCCTCCACCTCCAGATAATCAGAACTTTGTCATGATGGCCATCTTATAACTTTCTTTGTTCCCCTAATGCCTTCTGGACAAGGTTCAGTGTCTTTAGCTCACAACTGCAGACCAACCAGCTTTTCCAGTCTGGTTTCCTGTGGTTCCCTTACGTCCACCTGCTACTCCAACCAGACTGTTTAGACATTTCCCCAGGGTACTGTGTGCTCAGATTCTTAACTTCCCTGGGATGCCTAGGCACTGTTGCTGTGGGCTGACTTAAGATAGAAACAAATCTTGACCTTCGTGTATCCAATCAACACTTATTGAATGACAACAGTGGCCCAAACGATTGAATTATAGAGAGGTTCAAGACCTGGTCTTTGGAAAGTCCAGTGTCCCTGAAGAGACGGGGTCCATTCGTGCACACATAATGCACATGCCATATGCTGTAGCCCAAGTGTGAGGTGGTTGATAGGGACAGGACTAAGGCCCGAGGCCACCTGGGGAAGGCTTCAGGAAGGTAACCTTGGCCCAGGCCTGGGACAGATGTATGGAAATTAGAGTCCCTCAAGTTCAGAAGACTGAGGAGAAAGCACAGTCAGAGGCAGGGACGAGTTCGAGTCTGTGAGCATGTCAAGGGTGGGGTTGCCTACGAGGCACACGTGGAGGAGGCTGAGAATGGGACTGGACATCTGCAAGCACACTCTACTCTAGAAAAAAAAGCACATTTCAGGCACAGTGTATTAAAGACTTGAGTTTCTCTGGGGCAATCTTGAAAGATGTGACTGTAGTGTGCTAGCTCCTGCATAGGGCATAAACTATGAACGGAATTCTAATGTCCAAAGGCATCACTCTGCTGGGTACTTAAAAAACGAACATATTATTTTCCAGGAAAATCTTAAAAGACTAAGAGACAGCATCACCCGAAGGCAGAGAGAGAAGCAAAAATCCGGAAAGCATGCAGGTAGGTGGCCTCTCAGTGTGTTGCATCGCCAATGGGTGGCTGTTGCTGCCACCTTGACTGTCCCTTCTGCTGTGGCCGGAGTGGGCAGATTGCTTGCCCAGCTCCTGTTTGCACATCCGGGTCCTTCACTAGATGGGGAGAGCCATTGAGATGATGGTTGTGTTTCGTCCCTTCTGTAAGTGCTGCAGTGCTGGGAAAGGCATGCCCAGCCAGTGAGGGAATGAATGGGTAACACCCCCTCCTACCCCAAGTGGATGGTTATACTTTCTCTCTTGGCTCCATCCTTGGCAATGAGGAGAACGTAGGAGCCAAGGGAGCAGAGAAAGCCCCACTCTCCTGAGAGCGGGCAGCCTCTACCACCAGTTCCTAAGGGCACACTATGCAATAGTAGGCCATGAGTGGCTGTTGCATGCACTATGGGTGGGCTCTTCTGTCCCCTCCAAACCCCTCATGACACCAGCCATGGGACACCAAGCATCCTGAGCAAGGACCTGCCTTCAGGAGGCTGGGCCTCTGTGCCCTGCTCTAGCCAAGCTTTTGGCAAGAGGAGCCGTCAAGAAAAGGCTCCGCAGGAGCCCCTTCCATGCAGAACCAAGCAAAACCAGTCCGACTTGTGTGTTTAACTGCCTGCCGCCAGTTGGCTTCTCGTGAGCCCGGACATTTCCCCCACGCGATTCTTGCCCAGACCTCTTTCTCCACCCCTGCATTCTTATAACTGGGAAGCCTCTGGGCCACCATAGGCTTCTGTATTGTGTCCTCACTCAGGACATCTGGAGAGCATGGTGTCCCTGCCATGTCTCTCTTTGCTCTAATTGTTGTTACTTCATTTCTTCATTCCTCAGATTCTGGCTCCAAGGTGCAGCCTAAGTCTGGCTATTCCTCCTGTGCCATGGCTGTAACCACACTGGCACCATCTCTTTGTGGGACTACTGCCGTAGCTTCTGCACTCATCTCCTCCCTTGTCCACTCTCAGCCCTCTACAGTTCATCCTCCAACGTAAAGCCAGTGTCCTTTATAAATAAAGTATC